TCTCTCTCTCTCTCTCTCTCTCTCTCTCTCAAATACACTCACATACATGCACATGTTATGAGTCTGCAAAATCCTGGGACGCAGAATGAAGACGGTTCTCAGCAATACGTTACTCCAGAGTTAAAAAGTACTGTCTGACATTTTTGGCCGTTTTGAGTTACTAAGACCATGAGCTCACAAACCAAAATGTTCTATCTGTTCTATCAAAATCGTAAGATAATACGGGATCGTTATCAAGATACCCAAAGAACTGCACTCGAAAATGCCAGACATGTTGTGAAACTCAACTCTTTTAAGGAACAAAAAGACAGTTGATCCAATTTGGGATTAAACTGAGTTATCGGTTCTACATGACAATTTAAAACATGGTGCACATTTCTGTCTTAGTCTGGTATCGACATCCGAATAAATATAATTGAAAAAATGTTTACATTGTTGTCTTAAAGTAAAATCATCTGCATTTTACATGAGTCTGGAAAAAAAGTTTTACATTTATGACAAAACGTATGTGAATAAGAGACACCTATCACACCAGTATGTAATGACACTATTCTGATTGGTTAGTCTTATTTTGAGGTCAATGTTCTAAGTGATTGGCTGTTAACTAGTGAAATGACATGATGTTTTATTTTTATTTTGAATATCCTGAACATTTGACGAAAACTTGATGAAGTACTGTCTTCTAAAATGAAACACCATCACGATCTATGTAAGAAAAGGCTACAACGAAACCTGAAGATCCGAGATATTTCAACCACTGGTGGATCCAAAGATAGGATCTTAATTAAATTAGAAAAAATATGTACTCTAGTATCAGATGGCATGGAATTGATAGGATTGGACAAGGAAAAAAAGAAAGAAAAACTTGTGTGTGACATGAAATAAATAAATTATGTTAATGCATTAACGTGTGGAAAAAGAGCATCGACACGATAACAATCAGAATTTGGTGCTCGAGGGAATATAAGACAGACGGACAGAAAAAATAGAGAAAGAGAATTGAAGAGTGCAAACATAAAGAGATATTTTCAGTTGGTAATTACTTGTGGAAGGATAAGAACAAAGACAAGAATGAGTGACTTGAGCGAGATGGTGACAGAACACTCCCCCCCCCCCTCCGAGAATTCCAGTAATGTTACATATTTTATGTTTATTATCTATTAAACATCACTAATAATTAAAGTTAAGATTAGGTAATGGTGAAACGGTTAGGCCTTTCGACGTCCTACAAAGGATACACGAATTCGATTCCCGAATGAGGAGAATGTTTATCGAATATCTAGGTCTTCTTTCTCGGGTGTTGTATCATTCTCAGCCTGGATTAGCCCCCAAAAGGCATGGCCAGTCCGTCTTCTGAATGATCTAAATTGTGTCGACCGGGGCGTAAAACGAGTACATTCATATTCATTCTCAAAGATAAATCCAGGCTCTCATTGGAAACGCCCTCCCCCCACACACACACTACACTTGGAGAATACTCACGGAATAGGCCAGCTCGCCGAAGCTTCCTTCAGCATACAGCACAGAGACATAGCTCCAGCCCAGCTGACGGATCAGCTCCACGATTGCCTTCACCTGGAACACAGACAATGTCACTCTGTTTAGGGAGACAGACATCACCAGCACACATATATACGTGCGCGCGCACACATACATACACGCACACACATACACACCCACGTGCTGGCGCAGACACACACACACACACACACACA